TTTTTTTATTATTCTTCATTTTTCCCACTAGGAATGTTGTGCAGTTAATGCTCAAAGCACAACATGATTGCAAAGAGTGGATCTTCTTTATGGAACAAAGTCCTGTGCACGTCTATGACGAGTTTAACTACAGTAAGGCAGCCAATGTTTGGAGCACAACGAAGTCAGAAGGAATAGTTTAGACTAAGTTTTATGGAACAGTTCACATTAAATGACGATCTTGTCAAATTATGGTATATTATGTAAAGTATTATGTAATTTAAATAAAGTCTCTCATACATTTTAATACTGTCTTGTATGTTTGTTTTGGTGAGAGTGAATCCTGAAAAATATGCAAATTAGTATGCAAATTAGCATGCAAATTAGACCGCCATGCTTGCCTCTGACCCTGGGGAGAACACTGAGTAAACCATGTCTTTCCTGTGTTTTAAAATTTAAACACTCAGTACAACAGTCCACCTATGCTCTGTGTACATATAAAGTTTCAATGTCAACAAATTATACAAATAAATTACTATAATTGTGAACAGATGATACAGTATCCTCAAACGTTTCAACAATTTGAGTATTTCATCAAAATAAAACCTGCACTGATTTTGAATAGATATTTGCCCCTGTCCTTGGTGATCTCATTTAACAACTAGAGTGTACAAACAAAGATTACTTTGTTTTTATAAACTAGACTCGTTTTTATCTTCTAAAAAGTAGGAAAGCATTAGACACCTATGTATTTAATCTATATATTGGATTAGATAAGTGGTGAGAACAGAAAGTAAAAACAATTCGGTAAATTGATAAAATATCAGGGAAAAGTGCACAAACTTTTCCTAGCATGACAAGAAATTCTGGTGGTGGCTACTAAAATTAAATAGGCAACCATACCCATGGAAACATAGCTGTTGTCAGCAACCTATCAGCAAAAGATTGGAGTATTCAGTTCTGTGACACTAAGACTACTGTAAACACGATTCGCTCTTAGGAATTTTCAAGATTAAGGATCACTGAAGTCATCAACAGTTGAACACTGTTGTGAGGATCACTGATGTAAGTCATCAACACTATGTTGTGAGGATCACTGAAGTCATTAACACTATGTTGTGAGGATCACTGAAGTCATCAACACTGTTGTGAGGATCACTGATGTAAGTCATCAACACTATGTTGTGAGGATCACTGAAGTCATTAACACTATGTTGTGAGGATCACTGAAGTCATTAACACTATGTTGTGAGGATCACTGAAGTAAGTCATCAACACTATGTTGTGAGGATCACTGAAGTAAGTCATCAACACTATGTTGTGAGGATCACTGAAGTAAGTCATCAACACTATGTTGTGAGGATCACTGAAGTCATCAACACTGTTGTGAGGATCACTGATGTAAGTCATCAACACTGTTGTGAGGATCACTGAAGTCATTAACACTATGTTGTGAGGATCACTGAAGTAAGTCATCAACACTATGTGGTGAGGATCACTGAAGTCATTAACACTATGTTGTGAGGATCACTGAAGTCATCAACACTATGTTGTGAGAACCCAGAGACATTTTCACTGCTAATAACAGGTATGTGAGAACGGGAAATAAATAAATATAAGTGTAAAAGACTGAGCATGTGATCAACTGCCATAATATTGACCTTTATAGACAGTTTCATTTGACCCCACCATTGCTAAAATGACAGGC